GTCAAAAAAGTCTTGCGGTATTTTCGCTAGTTGGCGCTGACAGCGCGTAGTTCTTGTTTTATTCATCGCATCAGGTCATACTATATCTTTTTGGAGAGCTCATTTCACGCGCTAACAGGTGTTTGATTGACTTTTCTTTTAAGTCGTTGTGCAGTTTATGGACCCGATACAGTTTCCATTTCCACCGCACAACGATGGTATGAACGTTTTCGTTCTGGTGTAGAGGTGGTCGAAGATGAGCCACACTCCGAGTTTTTTGCCAATAGGGAAGCGAGCTTCTATGAGGGGGGCATCATGAAGTTGGCATCTCGTTGGGAACGCGTCATCGAACAAAGACTTGAATCGCATTATTGTTACCAATTCTATACCGCAAGACTTTTTTGACAACCTAATATATATCAAAAAATCATTTAATATATAGTCAGCGCTTCCCCATTGACCAATATTCGTTCCCCAATTGCAGTCAGCTAAGCACGAAGGAGAGAAAAAACCAGCAACACACACTCTTACACACACACAATAGCCATTAACAAATAAGCGTTAATGAAAATGTGCACACACACACACACACACACATACACTCAGCATCACACACAGCTGCCATTAAAACAACATTAAAAAGTAAAACAAACAGCCATGGCAACTAAATTTTTCTACTTTTTGTTTTCCGAGTCGTCGCCGCTGGAAGATGATTACATTTCGATAAAAAAAAACAAAAAAAAAACAACAAAAAACCAAACCGAGGGTAGAGTGATAGAGATAGAAGATAGCTCAATGACAAGGTAAACACACACAGACTCACACACACTCTCGCTTACACTCTAAAAAAAAACAAAAGCAGGCAAAAAATCAACTCAGGTGACAATGCAATGCAGCTGTGCACCGCAGTGTTGTAAAAAGCTAAGCCAAGCGGAAGTGTTGATTAATTGCCGCACATCCGCTGTTAGATAATCGTTTGATAATAGAAAATAAATACGTTTAGAGGGGCATTCAGTGATTTTTGCAAGGAAAATAAATGCATTTTTAGGTTTTAATTTAAAGAATATTGAAAGGAAATTAATTTATAATTTGATAAAGGAAAATATTACCAGCTAAAAATGTAAAGTAAATATTTTACATTTAAATTTCACAATTTTTGTAAATTATATAAAAATATTCCAATAAATACATCAAATTCTAAACTAAAAAATAAATATTTCATTATTAAACTCCCCTTGCTTGCCCTGTAAAATACTTTCGAAATTAACTTTACATTTCACATTTCCCTTTAAATATTTTCTCCGTTTTCCCTTACAATTAGAGCCTTCCCATTAGCTGCATTTAAATTATTTAATTCGAATTATATTATTAATTATCAACACAACGCAAATTTAGAAACTTAAGCCAAAGATTTGCATTTAGCAAGTTGCAAGATCGCAACGTCTTCATAAATATTTTTGCCAAGAGGTCGAAAATCTTTTATACATTTCACCTTAATTTTTCTTTATTCTCAATTATTTTCAGTGCCAAATGTCTGTATATATATATAGAGATAGATATAGATATACAGAAGATATATATATCTGCAATTGCCATATGAGATTTATTTATTTGCACTTCTCAGTTATTTGCATTTCATTTTTAGCCACAATTCGTTTCACCTCTAAAAATTGTTTCCCTTAATAGGTTGCGTTTCTTGGTAAAAATCTCGACACCACCTGACAACTGACTCATACAAATTTCATTGGCCGTTAAATTGAATTCGACGCAGAGTCTTGTTAGATGATCAAATGAAAAAAAAAAACATATAACAAAAATCAAACACAAATCAGTGAGCACAAGGCAAAAGGCAAAAGGCAAAAGCAATCAATTGCACAATTAGTCATTTCTTCAATTAATAATTCACTATTTTTAACTGTGCGCCAAAGTCAAATGATAATGACAACGAGTCTACTTGATGGTTGGTTATATGGTGATGGTGAGCTCAGGTTTAAACAATTTCTAAAAAGGCAGGCCGAGCACATAAACTTATTAACGTCACTAACAGAAACTGAATGCACTGAGAAAAAATAGAAAACATTTCTAAGAACTTTCCAAAAGAAATCAAATTTTCTTTCAGAAATATTTCACTAAAAAATCAAATTTTAAAGAAAACTTCTATCAAAATTCCTTTGAAAAACCTTACAAAAAAATATTTTAAAATATGTTAGATATTTCTACTGATTTACCATTATTTTTTTTCACTGTACACCATGAGAAATTTATCGCATTTAAAAAAGAGAGAAAAAAAAATACTGTTACACCTTGAACTTTGACGCAACACGAAAAAGCGTCGCTGCTGCCTCTCGGCCGACGTCGTCATTTAACTTGAAGCCCGAGTGCAATATGTCTGCCGATCTTTCAGGTATACCCCCCCATATATATATATATATCTGTGTATTGTATACCCCCCACGCCCCCCTGACACGCCTCCTCACCTTCAGCGTACGTGGAAACGTGCTCATACAAGCTCGGCAACAACAGCCAGACAAAAAGCCAGAAAAAAAACCCTCGCACACAGGCGTCCATGTAATTGAAGTATTCGAGAAAAAAAAACACAAAAAACGACATAATAAAAAAAAAATAAATATACAAAAAACAAAAGATGAGTGGAAGAAGCAGCAGATGCTGCTTAAAAAGCTTGTCTTTCAGTTTTTGGTTTTATGTGCATTTTGTGTGAAAACAGCAAAAAGAACAATCTGAAAACAAGGCAGTAAAGGGTTAAGAAGTGGAGATTAAACTCTATGAAAAAAACCTATTTATCTTTAAGATTAAATTTTTGATTTATTTTTGAGTTAATTAATTAAGAAATAAAGGTAAAAACTTATTTTACATCAACATAACACATACAAAATTCTAAAAATATTTCTAATAAATCAAAATAAACTTCTGTAAAGCCTAATTAACCTGTTCTTTTATCAAAATCTTCTTTTTTTTTGTAAATTTTATTCACCCCATCTTCGATTTTTAACATTTTAAGCTTGGAATTTGTGCTAATCACAACTACAAACAGGAATTGTTTAACTTTAATAATGCAAATGAGTTAAAAGTTATTGAAAATCAATGAAGCATCATCATCGAATTGTTTTTAGAACTCTTCTCTCAACTTATCTATCAGTTAGTTAGTCAGTTAGCTAGTTGGTTGTTAACTGACCTTCACAGATGAGCGTAGAGAATTCTCTCTGCCATTCAGTTAGCAGAGTCTTGGGTGCGGCTGCGGCTGTGGCTGCCAACCGAAAAAAACAAAAAATTAACAACTTTTGGAGGCTGAGAGAGGAGGAGGAGGCGCAAACAAAAGAAAGCTGCGGAATTTTAGCAATGCGGCCAATGGATAGATGGCCAATGATCTCGGCCCTCTCCTCCACCTCCTCCTCCTCCTCCTCCCACCACAAAGCCAGCCAGCTAGACAACAAACAGCTTTTCCTTCAGCTCAAATATACCGCCATCAGTCAACAGGTGGCCTTTGGATTTCAGGTGGATTTACTAAACGAGTTTTGACTTTGGAGTCAACTATTCACTTAGCAATTAGCCACTAACAATACATGTTTCTGTACATTTTCTATGATTCTTATAGCTTTTCCAAGAGATTTGTAACTAATAATCATTAGTTATCTAATAAGAATGATTTTTGTTTAAAAATTAAACTTAAAAACTGACTGAATATCTCAATTTCTGAGCACGCGGTCAGCATGGGTTATGTGTGAAGATAAAAGTAAGCTTATTGCACCTGATAAAACATTTAATTTATACACACACACACACACACAGACATTGCACAGAGCAGCAAAAGCAAACTCCACAAAAATATATAAAAAAAAAAAAGAAAAATGGCTTAATAAAATGCTGAAAATGTACGTTAATATGCGCAACTAGTCTATCATTTGAGAAATTAAAAAGCGAATTTAAATGCATTGAGACACGCGCACAGCTCAGCGATCTCGCATGCCATGGGCGTCGTCCGTTTACCCCCTCTTTTCAGCGCCACAAAATAATTGACCCATCAAAGGGGGGCACATTGAATAAAATATATTCCAAATCTAATCAAGAAGAAAAGAAAGTTAAAACATAAATCCTTAACTTTCATTACAAATATCGTTAAAAATCGCTTAAATCTTAAGTTGAAGTTTAACAACTATTTTCTTTTGGCAATTATTTTGGCATTCCCTCGTATTGATTTCTTGGTAACGAAATGAAAAGACCTTATGCAAGAGGAAGTTATTTCCACGATCGACTTCCATTTTACCACTAATTTGGCATCGATTGCATTTTCACGACAATGCCATATAAAGGCGTCGACAGTTTGGGATCTCTTTCCTGTCGACTTTTCCGACTTTTCGCCATCGCAAATAGCAGTTAGTTTCGGTTTTGGTCTTGCTTTTGGCCATTTACACTGTCCACCAGTATTTCCAACTTGTTTATGAGCCGGGTGGTGGTTGGCAGTGGTGGCAGGGGCATGGGCAAGGAGATGAAAAGGTGTTATTAACCTGCTGCAAAGTGTGTGGCATAACAGTGATACCTCTGTTTTGAAGGATTTTGCCACAACTAGTTTGCAACTTCCATCAATATTAATCAATAAATATATTTATATGAAAATATTATAATTTCCCTGATTTTAAGTATATAACTTTTATTATCAATCTATAAAGCCAGCTCTTAACACTTTGTGATACTTTCGATCGAGGTATCACTGTACTTGCTGGCGCTTTTTCTGCTGGTCAGAGATTTTGCTGCTTCTCTGCGCTTTTGTTGCTGTCTTTTAGAAAGTATGTCAATTTAGAAAAGCCGTTGACTGTCCACCTCTGGTCACTCACACAACAACAACAATAACTAGCACTGGCACACACCGATAGGTAAGATAGGTAACAGGCACACACACACTCACACACATACACGTCTACAGGTGCGCTTAACTTTAGTTTTCGACTTAAGGCAACAACAACAACGAACAAAAAAATGAAGGTGTTTGAATGTTGAATACCAACCGCAGTTTGTTTTTTGCTTCTTCCTCTTCTCCTTGCTTTCTTCTTCTTGCTGGATCAACACTAAAGAACACACGAAAAAAAACGTCAAAATTTTGCGGCAGCGACAAGGAGAGAGAGAGAGAGATGTATCACAACGACAACAATAACAACAAGAACAACATTAACAACGCACACAACGGTAAACTAGTGTAACTGCTAAGCGAGTGAAACGGTTTTAATGTCCGTTTAAAACGAGTTAACTTTTTGAGTTTCTAGATTTCGTTTCGTATAAATCCACTAACGTTTCAGATACTTCGAAAACAGTCTCGAATTCCGATCAGAACTTTCTGTGTGTTTTTGGCGAGACCCGTACGACGTACGTCCGTCCTCATCGAAATTAAAAAAAAAATTGAATATTTCTGACGACGCTCGGCCGTATATGTGTGAGTCGTTTCGTTTTTCTCTCTCTATCTGCCACTCTCTCTATCTGTCGTACAACAAACCGACTGAAACCGAGTGCCAGCGAGCGATCTCTGGCAGACACTGCTCATCTTAACAGTTCTGTTAGGAAATTTGCTGTTACGTCGCTGCCGGCGTCGCTGCTTTCACTTGGCGCAGCGAGAGCAGCTTTTGCAGCTTACTCTCTTTTTCGATCCCTGCCTGCCTGCGTAAGCAAGCTGAGCAAAATTTTATAACAGCTTAGCAACAACAGAAAGGAAAAGCATTAAAGACGACTTACAAATACCCTGCAAAAGGAGTTATACCATATAAGAGTGTATATAGCTACCATATACTTCCTATAAAGAAGGAAATTACTATAAATGGCAAGATTTATAAAGAAAATTACAGAAAATGGGGATAAAGGTGTCAGAGTGACCGTATTGTTGAAGACAATTGACTTCTTTTCTTATTTTTAAAAGAAAAATCAACACAATTATTCTATACCCTTTAGTTTTCATACAGCTAAACACAGTATCTTTAAACTTGAAGTAAAAAAATAGATTAACGTGAACTTTCAAGACACATTTTCAAGTCCTGCAAAGAATTAGTCAATAAAAGCTCACCATAAACCTAAATATAATCTAATAAAGTGCCTTACAGAATTTTATCAGCTCTTATTATCAATTCAGGTCAGTTAAGCTACTGGTTACTGTAAGAACCCCGTTATTTCTGTTGCGTTTTTCTGTTTTTTTTTGCGGAATCGTTATTCATTGTTGCAATCTAGCGACTTGGACATGCCTCGTTTCCAAGATATAGTAAGCCGATTCCACGCAATAGAAATGCAAATAGAACTCTAAACAGTGCCAAGAAGTTGGCAAACACCAAAAACACACAGAACCAGCGTATCGTATTCCCGAGAACCAAATGTAACAGATATCAGACAGTCGACAGACCTTGGGGCCCAACATTCCGGCGCCCTCAAAACTACATGCCAACATATATACGAACATTCAGAAAAGTGCGATATGAGCATATCACCAATAACACACTCGAGGGCTTATAGGCAAGTACAGTGAACCCTAAGTACTAACCCTTTAAGCATTGCTCAAACTTAATTTTTAGAAAAACCCACTAGAGTATGATTCAGGCATTAATATTAATCACTGGACAACGAATTGCTAAATCTGGCCACATTAATCACTAAGCAACATTCTTTTAAAAGCGATCCACTCTATCATCTCCATTTTTGGGATATCTCAACAATGTTCTCAGAACCAAAATTAGAACATTACGTAGTCCTCGAAACGCGAAGCATGCTTGACAAAAAGCAAAAATAGTTTATCAACGTGAGAATTGATAAAAAAATATAGCAACAAATACTGCAGAACTGTACAAACATAAATGTGTGTTATCAGCGCAATTGGCGCAAAGCAAAAGTAAACTTAACCCAAGTCCATAAATAATTTAGAAGAAATGTTCGGCGAAATGAAATGCAATTAAATTGGGAAGTACGGGGGGTTTTGAAGAGGCGATCTTATCATTAATAGCATTAAACTGACTGAAAGTATAAAATATAAGATAGATCATAAACTAATTGAACTAAAATGAAGATTTGTTTTCTTAATAAGATACTGAATTAAGCTGCACTTTCAGTCAGAGGTTAAAGTACTTTTTATCTCTATCTTAAACTTTTTTATGAGCTTAAAACTCATCCAAAAAGTTAAATAACAAACTGCTCAGAATTTGAATAAAAACACACCTAAATTCGTTAACTGATCAACAATGAAAAATTGCTGTGAACATTCCAGAATCTTTTCTCAGCCTGCCGGTTTTTTGATTTTTTCTTTTTTAACAAAAGAGCACAACTCCTTGGGGTTTTATTTTTGAATTTTATTTTTCGAGCGATCTTTCACTTTCAACACACAAAAAAAGCATCAGCGACGAGAAGAAGAAAAGTAAAAGCCCACGCAAAGTGTTGTGCAAGTGAAAAAGAGAAAGATAAGATACGAAAATGATTAAAACGGAGTGCGCGGGGAGGAGGTGTCGGAGAAAGGGGGCGGGCTCTGGAGGTCGCCGGCAGTATAAAAAACGCAACAATCCAAAGCCAAAACACCAAAGTTGACTTTTTCAACTTAAAGATACCCTTCTTTGACTTGAAATGTATCAAAAGTGAAGTTTTATAAAGCAAAAATTATAACTTATCTAATCAAGGATCAATCTGGAAATATATGTAACTCTAAAATATGTTTTTTTTTCTCTAAAATATTTGATAAGTTCTCACAGATCTTGAGTATTACATACTCTATGTGCATTTTGAGAAAATATCAATCAAGTTGGAGATAATATCCATTGCAATCTCAAAAACAAAGCCTCCAACTTTCGTAGATTCGAAGATTTCATCGCAAGTTCTTGAACCCATAACTCCTTCGATTGACCCACTGAATATCTGCTCTCATTTTTCAGTTCCCCCCAGTTTCTTTTCTTTTTATCTTTATCTCTAGACTTATCCCGTAGCATTCTCTTCTGACTCATTGCATTGATTAGTTTCTCGCGCTGCTTTTTGGAGAATTGGGTGAAGGGCGAGTTGAAGTTACTCACTTGGAAAACTTAATGATTTATTAAAGAAAAATGTACGTTTTCCAGAGAAGAATCTATTCTCTTGAGACACTCGGTCTCTTTCCAGTCACTCTTTCACTACCTCCCACTCTTTCGTCAGTCTTTTTTTTCCGCGGTTACTGCGAAGTGCACGTAGCAAAAGTCCGAAACAAAATGGGTAAGCCAAAAAATATAAAAAAAAAAGAAAGACGAAGCAAAGCAAAATGCAATCGGAGAGAAATAAGAGAGAGAGAGAGAGCGGGAGAGAATGCAAAGATGATCGGTAAACAAACAACAAAAATTTGAGTTTTATATGCGGTCAACGAAAAAAAACAAGTCACGCGGCTTAACAACCAGTGTTGCCAATTATCGTTGGCCAAAAGCGTAAGGCGGCTTAAAATAGCAAAGGTTATTAAATACTTAATCGGTTATGGAGCGGTTGAGTATCGGTTATGAAACGGTTTCTATTTTGGTTTCGTTTTACTCAAATTCAAAAATACGTTAGCTTAAAGGAAGGACGCTAAAGTGATGCCATTAAAAATCGCAAAGCGTAACAAGTGTTAATTTGATCAGGTGGCAACACTGGGAAATTTGAAAGCAACGTTTTCCCCATTACGTAATGATCTTTTCTATCTCGCTCCTTTTCTCTTTCTCCATCTCTTTTGCTCTCTACGCGCTTAACTAGTCAAGCATAACAAACACACACACACACACACACACATACATACAAAACAACAACTCGTTTTGGTTAATTAACATAAAAAACGGTACAAAAACAACAACAACAAAAGAGCCAAACACTTGTTGCACCCAAAAAAAAAAAAAAATAATCGCTGAGAGGAAAATAAATAAAGTAACGAAAAATGAAAAGCCGACGCCTGAGCAAACACAAGAGAGCATTTCCAGCTAGCGAGTGAATCGAAGAAAGAGATAGACAGAGAGGAAATGGAAGAAAGGGAGAGGAAGTTCCTTTCCTTTTATCGCAAAATTTCAAGTTCGCAGACAGCAACAACAACAAAAAATGCAAGAAAACTGCAAAAATAAGCTAATGCTTATAGATACAGTAAGACCTCGCATTCAATAACTAAAATGTTGAATTTTTAATCACATTTAGTAATATAATGATCAGAGATTAACTTTCAGATAGATGATATTATATCTAGAATATCTTGTTTTCATTTTCTGATCATCATTTTATCTACTTTATTCAGCGATCTCTGTACGTAGTCTGCACCCTTCTGTTTTTGGTGAATAAATAAATACAAACAGACGCAACCATGACGTCAGGCGCTTTCGGTGTCTCGCGCGCATTTCGCCTTTATGTTCGTTGCAAATTTTGTGTATTCAATGTCAAAATCCATGGCCCGAAACACGGCCAAAAGCCATTCCCAAAATCCGAAAAAAAAAACCCAGCCAGACAATTGTGGGTGCCGTTTAGGGATGGAAAAGTCAGTCGACTATATCACATGGATCTTGGTTTTTAAATCTTAAAAATAACATTACTCAATACTGGTTGAGTTGATATTGAAAGTTTGAAATAACAAATGAACATGAATGAAATGATTATGAATCGTTATACACGTTATGTCAAAGTTATACCGGTAATGAAACGGTTATGGCGCTGCCAGAAAGCGTTTGCAAATCGGTTATAAAATATCAAATAAGTATGATTTTAATATGGAGTTACACTTAAAAGATCTTAATGAATCAAGAATTAAAAGTAAATCATTCATTTTTTACTGATCTTAAAGATCCTCACGCTACCATCTTTAGATTCAAAGGTGCTTTTTTACCTGAAAGGGCGATAAAGAAAGGAGGTTGGCAAAGGAGGAGAAGATACTAACCAAAATGGCAACACTGGCGGTACAAACCGGTTTCATTTTCGTATTTTAAACTTCTTTTTTTTTTGTATTTTTTGAGCGCATCAAAAAATATGCAAACGTAGAAAAATATACGTTTCCAGTCAAAAAACAAATGTGCTAAGTGAGCTAATGGAGAAAGAGTTGACTATTTTCCAAACTATAAATCAAATAATGAATGGCCAAAGCAACAAATCCAAGTGTCAGAAAGAGAGGAGTGTAAACAACAAAAAAGGCGGACAGCATCCGCTGGCAATGGCAGTGTGTGGGTACGAGCGAGACAGTCGTTAGCCTAGTTATGCCAGATGCGAATTAATGGGTATCAGAGGGGTATAATGAAGTTAAAATTGCTTTGTTAAAGCATTTATATCATTTTTACTATTTGAAAGGAAAACCTTCACTTTAAGAACAGCTTTCAAGTTAAACGAATCGGGTAAAATTTGTCTGGTCCCATTGGTTGGGATTCCTTTTAACCTTCCTTTTTTGAAAATTTCAAATCTAGATGGCGCTCTGCGATAATGATTATCTCAAGAGTTTTCAACACTTGTATTAAATATATTCAAAGAAGACTCTATTATATCACTGAAAGTTAATAATTCTCCTTTTCCAGGGAACTCTACAAACTTATCAAGTTCTGTATGCAAATTTCTTTGCCTGTTCGTTGGACTCGATCGACTCCAGCCAGCCAACTTGTTTCGGATTATTGAACAGCATTCATTTGAGAAATGAAGAAGCTGACAACTTTGTCGCTTTCTCAGTGCCACACAAAACCGTTACAAATTGGCCGGGGAATGTGAGAAAAAGGGGAAGAGATGCCAATAAAGATTGGCACTTCGCGAAAATAGATGATCATTTGCTGTAGTGGTTAATACAAGATCAAAAACTTTGTAATCAAAATGCATTTTCGAATTGTTCAATGTACACATATAATAGATTTTATATTATATATATTGTACAATTGATATTGAAGAAAGTGCAAGATTTTTTCTCTGTGCAAAGATCGTCTGACTCACAGATTATATGGTGAGACCCTGACAATGCATGACAAATCACAGAAGAAAGCAGACACAGCAGCAACAGGCTGAAAAACCGCCTGAAAATGCCCCGGTTCAGTAATAATAAACAATAATAAATACATATAGAAGGGAAGTGGAAGAGCGGGAAATTCTAACAGCTTTTCGAACCCGTATTAAAAACGGGCCACCAAACAGCTTCGATAGCGACGAGCGTTGGGGTCCAATATTAGCCATGATATCAGAGTAGCTGTGGGTCAGCAATATGATCTTCTGATTTTTCCAAGAACCAATTTGAAATTCAGTAAATTTCGAATTCAGACATGTTCTCAGTTAAAATTTTAAATTAAAAATTGCTAATTTAATAGTTTAAGTCGGGAAAGTTATGAGTATTCAAAACTCGAATATTTCTTAATACTTAAAAATAACATAAAATGGAAATTGAACTTCATGAAAGATGTTCAAAGTGAAGTAGTTATCATTATTGAAAAATTCTAGCTAGTTCTTTTTAGCTATTTGAAAAGTTAATCACCGATCGCCAGTTAATCTGGTTGGAGGGGGGGAAGCGCCTTGCGCAGCTCCAACTGGAAGCGCGACATTCTAACTGGAAAATGCGACTCATGCTAATGGGGATAAATGCGCGAAAGGGACAGAAGAAAGGGGTGGAGGCAAAGGCGAGACAAAGAAGGTGAAAAACTTTGGGAAAAACGGTGGTTGGAGTGGCGGCTGCAATTTTCACACGCTTTAAAATCAAAAAAACACGCACACACACAAACACTGATTTTGAGCAGCTGCCCAAAAAAATAAAACAAAAAAACGTTAGAAATTCACTTCAAAATCTAGCGCTATCTCGCTCTAAAGCCGAATTACTTCATAACTGACTTTCAAGAAGCTTTGTGGCTGAGTGCGAAAGGGAGAGAAAATGCTCTTAATATATTCCTTATTAATGTGTAATGTGATTTTGTTGTATTGGCATTTAATTTTTAAAGTGGCTTGTTTTTTTTTTTTTTTTTTTTTTAGCTTTTTTAATGCCGGTTAATGACTCACACTCCAATCTGTCTTTCCCTCTCTTTCGCACACATACTGCCACATACCGGTATTTCAGCCTTTGCTTTACACTCTTTCTTCGTTTGTTTTACATCTCGTTCTTAATATTAAGAGTACAAAAAAAAAGAAGACAGTTAAATACGCTAAACTCACACACACACAAACAAACAAGCAATGCACTTTTGTTTTTATTGTATTTCTGGATTTTTTTTTTTTTTTTTTTTTGCACACACGCGGGGAAAAAACTGAGTTCTTGCCTCCGTTAAGCAAAACACGAAATAGAATAAAAGTGCGGACAATAAAAACCGTTTTTTTTTTTTTGCCCAACGCTCAACTTTTGCCGGTGTGTGCAAGTATGCGTGTGTGTGCGTCTGTGTGAAAGAGCCGCGTGCCTTGGTGTGTGTTTGTGTGTGTGGGTATGTGTGCGCTTGTTGCGCTTTTTTCTTATGCCTCGGAATTTCGTACATTTACGTTCGCTTTGCACTTACATTTCGACTCGTTTCCAATTGCCGCGTGTTTTCAGCCGATCCTTGCCGTTGCCTCGTCTGTTTACTTCTTTATCCGTCTGCTTTTCGCACCAATAATTCGTATAAAAATACCAAACAAAATTACGAAAAAATGAAAACAAAAGCCAGCAGGAAAAGGTCCCACTCTGCTTGTATCGTTATCGGTATGGAGTTTTTAGAAGCATCTATCGTTATCGACGTGCTGTTATTATACCTAAAAAATCATTTTCAGTACTAATTTGACCACATTATTTGCGGGACTTACCGATTCTTAACGAAGAAACTATCGACTCCGTTAAGTTTGGCGCAGTTTTTTAAAATAATTTTTGAATCCAGATCGACTAGGAATTAAAAACACGAACTTGACGGAAGTATGGAATTCCATATATTGACCATATACATGGCAAAGAAGTTCTGAAGCACACAGTTACGTTTCGGATTTCGTTTTAAAACACGTGAGAAAAGGTTTTTTAGTGGCTCAGAGATGTTCTGAATGGGTTACAAAGATTTTCTTTCTATAAAGATATAATAATCACAATTTGATTCAGATTTGAGCATAGAGCACAAATACCTTGCTCCTTTACCCTTTAGTGATAACGTTTTAGATTGGCATACTTTTTTGGATGATAATAGAACTCGATGAAGACCGAAAATGATCAGTATCTCACATAAGTTCTACTCGAGTGGTTTGGAATATTCCAAAATGTTTAAGTTGACATTTTTATTTTTGTTCATCGTCGTTGGCAGATCCCTGGCAACTCCCCAGGATAATACTGGGGCAACTGAACTTTCCAGCGAACCCGAATCTGAAGAGTACCTATATACGAAAATCGGAAAAAGGCATTTTCATATTGAAAAGAAAAAGTTTGTGCGCTGGTATAAAGCTAAAGCGGAATGTGAGAGAATCGGCGGAATACCAGCGTACATCGAAGATGAAGAGGATGTTCAGGCTATTTTGCCAAAATTAAATCCCAATTACACTTATTGGCTGGACATGAAGACCAGTACCTATACCTTTGCAGCTATTTCAGTCAAGAAAGGAAAGCACGAATTTGTTTTCCCATACTTCAGACATTTGTTCATTTGCGAAATGTAATACATTGAGGAGGAAAAAAAGTAAATGAAAATTACTATAATCGTTAATATATCAGATCAGGGATCATCTGGATAGTTAATAAAGATATAATAACCGATCATTTATTTAAGCATTGTGAATTGCATTTAAATTGAACATAAACAAATTTTGCTTCAACTAATAAAACGATTTGTCCTGCAAGAACACAAATAGCTGACCCCTCAACTTACTGATAAGGTTTTAGATTGGCATATGTTTTTGGATGATAATAGAATTCTACAAAGACCGGAAATGTTCAGTATCTTACATAAGTTCTGCTCAAATAGTTCGGAATATTCCAAAATGTTTGAGTTAACATTTTTATTTTTGTGCATAGTCGTTGGCATATCCCTGGCAACTCCCCAGGATAATTGGGTGTGTCAGCTCGATGATGCACCGGCCCAATGCAGCCACTTCTGCCTGGCAGCTCTTTTTCCTTTAATAGACGGAAATCGCAGATCCGCCGCCGATCTAGAAGATATTAAACGATCAAGTGAACAGACTGCAACCGAACTTTTGGCCATAAATGCCAAGTTGGAGGATCTAAATAGAAAACTTGACAAGCTAACCGATTTAAAATCCAGCAATCCCAAGCATGAGCCAGAAATCGGAGAAAATCGTTTTTATATTAAAAGGACTAGTTTGATGGAGCGGGATATGGCTGAAGTGAAACGTAGAAAAATCTAAATTGGCGATCAACGATGATGGAAAGGAGAAAAGCCAAAATAAAAAAGCAAATTCGCTTATTGGCTGAGCAGAAAGAGATATAACTAAGAAGCTATTTCTATCGAGCACAGAAAGATACGTTTTTTTCCCCAAACATCAAAAAATTGTTAATTTGCGAAATTGATTAAATGAGGAAAACAAGTAAATGAAAATTACTATCATCGTTTAATTGCTAAAAAAAAAATATAATTTTCAAATCCAAAATGGTTTTTAACAATTTTGAGAAACTATATAAATAAAAACAGTTCAAGAAAGTGCACAAAAATTGAATAAAAAAATAAACAAAAATAAACGACTTTTGTTCTATTTGACCCACAAAGACGGCCGACTAAATTTAGAAAAGAAACAATTTATTCAGCTTAATCCAATAGTAAACAGAAAGTAGAGACATCGGCATTTCATGCCCGCTAATTTTGTACTCGTTCGGAGGTCAATAATAAAAAAAAAAGACAAACCTTATTACTGATTCTTTGATTTTTGAATCCGGGGGATTCCAATATACATGCTAGCTTTCATCTTAGAAGGATTAAGCTAAGAATTTGAAATTATAAAGACAAGATAACAAATTTCTTTATATTTTAGATAGAACAATCTTTTGATCAAAAATCTTAGGCTTACATATCTTATTTGAGGACTTATGGATAGAAAACAAAAACCATAATAATAAACTGCGTTTCTAGAAATCTCTTGGGTGGAAAATCATAAGCTAAAAAAGAGAATTTTGGTTTTCATAAGCTTAGAGTTCTAATGTCTTGGACAGTAACTGATAAAGTGATTCGCTAGGCCTTAACAGCTCCTTTGATAGATACATACAAATATATATATCTATATATATATATATGTGAGGATTAATTTGTGAATTTAATTGGCTTTTGGATTATGAACGATCCCTGGGACTTAACGAATCTTAGGATTACGCATCTTAATTATTATTCTCGAGGGCTGCCATCCGTTCGCGTTCCTTCAGCAATCGCTCCCGACTGTCTTGCGGATTAAGCAGCACCTTCACAAGATGCTCCACCGTTGGCCGCTCGGCGGTGCAATAGACCTTCAGACCCTGCGATTCGAGAGCACGCCTAGTGCTCGGTCCAATGGCCACCAGTTTCCATTTGTCCATCGACAACTGGCGACTGCCAAAGTATTGCTGGGCACAATTGACACCCGAGGGCGAGAAGAAGGCAAGGAATTCTATCGATTCACCATAGATCTCCAGGGCTCGCTCCACATTCTCACCCAATTCGGGATGACAGCGCGTCTCGTAGACCTCGCAGGCATCCACTGAGAAACCATTTTCGGCCAGTTTCGAGAGCAACGTATCGGTGGCCAAATTGCCGCAAGGCAATAGCAATGGCAACGCCCGTGAGCCATCAAATGTGTCCACTATAAATTCACCCAGGGCACGGGCATTGCCCGTCTGTTTGCCATGGGTGAATAGCTGGTCCAAGGTGCTCAATGCCAGATTGTGGGTCACCTCGCCGACGGCATAGTTATGCAACATCTTCCAACCGCCGGGCAATTCACCAAGATTCAATGATTCTGCCACCGCTTCCACGCAACGCGGCGATGTGAATATAATCCCAGCATATTTATCCGGATTTTGAAGCTTGGCGCGCAACTCTTCTAGATTCTTGAAGCCAAAGCTTAGTGTGGGCACAAAAACTGGATTGAAGTCGTGCTTTTCCAGCGTTTCCGCGTAAACATCGCTACTATCCGACTCCGATTTAAAAATGATCACAGTTCGCTGGCGACTCGTCATCGTATTCCGTGTTTCGATTTCAGGTCACTTTCTGCTCTGGCGGCTGGCTGCCACTTGGTTATTCTTCTACTTTTTCTGGTTACTTGTCCCGCCCACCGCCGCTGCCGTATATTGACGCAGCTGCTGCGGCCTCCCCTGCTCTTCAGTTGACCAAAAATAAATAGGAAAATAGCGATATTTACTTTTAGATTTTTGCTAAATTTCGTTGCACTTTTGCACTTTCTTGCTGTCTCTTTCTGATCAGCTGTTTTGCCGGCTATCAGGGGCTGCCAGATTGATGTGCTGGTAAATGATTTATAAGTTTTTCATTGAAATCGTATAGTTGATGCTGATTGAAAGGCAAGGAAATTTTTATATCGAAAAAATAATGTAACTTCTAATTTAGAAGGCATATTAAATTTTTACTATAGTTCCTTTTGTTATAGTCAGCTGTCTATAACAGGGTGGCCAGACCGAAGTTAGTTAGTCAGTGATATTAAAGAAAACGTTGACTTTATGATTCCGCTTATTAAAGAATATTACTTTGCAAGCTTAACGTTATACATTTTAAGTCAACTAAATGTATAGATTAAAATATAACCACTTGTTGTCCTTGTCGACTTCTGGTCACACTAGCAACAGATATTCGATACTATCGCAACGGTCGTGAACATAACAGCGCTGCCACACAACATTAAACTAGTTTCGCACGTGTTCCAAACTAAGTTGGTGATTTTGTTTAATTTTACAATAGTGTTTAACAATTTATAGCCGCCATGCAGCACGACGATGTAAGTATCCATCCATTTTAATCAATAGAGTTTCAAGTCATCTCGAATTGTAAATATTACAGGTTGTTTGGAGCATCATAAACAAGTCCTTTTGCTCGCACAAAGTCAAGTGAGTTTAAAACCGCCTATATAAATGTAAATAAATTAATTTAAATGGTAAAAAACTTCTTAGGACCGACACACGTACCTTCTGCCGGCATGAGTATAATCTCACGGGTCTGTGCACCCGGAGAACATGTCCATTGGCCAATTCACAATATGCTACCGTTCGTGAGGAGAAGGGTATCATATATTTGTTTATCAAGACGGCGGAGCGATCACACATGCCCAGTAAATTATGGGAACGGATCAAGTTGTCGCGGAACTTCGAGAAGGCCATCGAGCAGATCAACGAGAATCTAGTCTTTTGGCCAAAATACATGATTGCCAAGAATAAACAGCGTTTCCTTAAGATCACTCAATATCTGATGCGAATGCGAAGATTGAAGTTGCGCCGTCAAAAGCTCATTGTCCCGCTGTCCACGAAGATCGAAAGACGAGAGGCGCGGCGCGAGGAGAAGGCCTTGGTGGCGGCCAAGATCGATAATCATATTGAGAAGGCTCTTATGGATCGTCTTAAGCATGGTACTTATAAGGACATCTACAACTTCTCACAGACTGCTTTCAATAAGGCTCTGGAGGCGGAACGTGTGGACGAGGATGAGGAAGAAGAGGAGGAGGAGGATGAGCTCGAGCGGGAAATGGAAGTGGACAACGAGGATTCCCGTGAGATTATCGAAATGCAAAAGGATCTGCTCGACGAGGAGTTCGTGGAGGCCGACACAGATGATGATGAGGATGATGACGATGAGGAGGACTATGACAGTGATTCTGGAAGGCGGGAGGAAGTCGAAGTGGGCAGCGATTTCGAGGAATCCGATGAGGACGGCACCGATCCGGATAATGAGGATATTGAGGTAGTATTTCTGATCGAATTCGATCTTCGATTTTTTGGCAATTTTTTTTGGAGTGTTTTAAGTTTCTATGCTTAAAAAGGTTTTTTAAAGTTCAGATTCCCAGCTGTTTCTAAAATCCTGCGTACTACAGCTTCCCACTAAAGAAATTACCATAATTAGAAATAGAAATAGCAAACGAGTTCTGGTTGCTTTCGAGCTTAGAATACTGAGTTTGCTGTGAGAGCTTTCAAACGCTCGCCGCTTTTCATTCAGTTGCGGTTTTCATTCTGTGCGCGTAAAGTTTTAGCTCCACAAAATTGCCAAAAACAAAAATCGAAAATATATATCCCATAATCATTTTAATTTAAAAACCAAACTAAAACAAAAATATAAATCCCAAAAACAGGACATTAAATTGGCTGGCAAGGCAGCCACGAGCAAATCGAAGAAGGAGAAGAAATCTCCGGCGTCCAGTCGCCGTAGCCGATCGAAACCCAATCTGGAGCTGGAGTACGAGTATGAGGTGGAGAATGAGGCACAAAGGCAGATGCGCCATTAGCCAGGTCTACACTATATCCCTTCCTTTTCCCTCTCCCCCACTAAGCTAAGTTAGAGCTTATTCTTAAGCCAAACAAAATGTGTGTAAAGCCTTTTAAGAATAGTATTTTATAAAAAGAAACAAAAACACAAAAAACCTAAAGATTCTATATGTGTGTGCTTCGCGTTTGTTCCCAAAAATGGAACGATGCATCCGAATCCCATACGATGTGCATCTGTCTCGCTCGCTTTGCTTTTCGACCAAAAAACGTGCTAACTGACATTGAAAGTGCGTGAGTTCGTCGGGGGTTAAGAGACCCACTGGGGTGTTAAGCGACGTTGCAATGCAATATAAAAAACCAGTTTAGCAAAAATATTCTATAAAATCTGTAAACTATTTCTGTCAGAATTATAGTTATTTGCATACCCTGGAAAATGTCTGAAGTTGCTGGGTAAATTGCCAAAATGTTTGATTTCAGTTAGGCAAATTTTATAATAATCACATATTTTTTTTATAAACTTACTCTTAGGCTAAGTAAAGTTTAATAAATTCTTAAATTTGGTATAACAAAATCATTTTTAAGGATTTAATATGCTTTCCTATTTTTAATCTTTATAGTAATAAGCAAAAATAAATAAATAAGATTAGTTTCAGCGATTTATAAAGTTTAGTAGAATCTTTATTTGTCTGTAATCTATTCATATGCCAAATTTCATATCAATCGGACAAATATTTAGTCTTCAAATCAAAGGTTATATATTTTTTGTTTATATTTCATGAAGTTTATAGAAAACTATCCATAAATCAGAGCCACCAAGTTATAACCCTTAACCCTTAGAATTATAAGATCAGCTAAAGAGCATCTATATGGTCGATACCCCATCGATCTTTCGTTCTATATATTTAACGAAATGCTGTGGCGGGGCTAATTAAATATCGCACGGCAAGTTCAATGCAGTGCAGCCAAGCGATTCAGCAAACCAACCCAAGATCGTTTCATATGGGATTGGATAGCCTCAAGGTCATGCCGGATCTGTGGCCAAAGGTTCTGTTTTATTAAAACGAGTCATAAAAAAAAATGACACAATGGGGATTTACTACATAGAAAACCTTTCAACGTTTAACTAAATTTGATATAGAGTGACGGTTTTTTCATTTGCACTTAAGCATTATTGACTTTAAAATTTGGAGAGAGCTCAAAACGTTAGTAGTTAAAAGTTTAAACTGAAAATTACAATGCCAGGTATTGCTGGGAGTTAGTTAATGACCGGATATGGGAATAATGCCAAGTCTATTGTCATGTATAACCAAATTTAAACAGAGAAGATTTTTTTTTATGAACTACCATATTCAAACTAGATGATATACTACAGATTATAGCTATATCTAATACAGATCTTCCTATATAAATGCATATAGTTCGTATCCTGACGAGACAAGTCACGTTGATTTATTATTCGAAAGACTAAAGACTAAAACTAACATAGGAAACACAGAAATCAATCTCTTTCATGGAGTATACATCCAAGGGGTATCGGAAAGACATTCAAAAAACACACAGTTGTCAGTTGGGTGTATATACATTATATATTAGTACGTGTAAAGTAAGTTTTTACCATTTCTAAGATAAACAGTTTCTTGTTCTCATTTTGTTTTTTTTTTTTTTTTTGCATTTGTTCTCTGCTGTCTGTAATTTTTGTTTAATTATGATGTTGGTGTATGTAGTTAGCAGCAGAATATGCCATAATTCGATGCCCTTATCATCGAAATTCCATGATTTTCTTGTTGTTGTATCCTCGTTAGTTGGGGTCTGCTCGATCCTTAGATTAACATCTGATTATTTGGTATTATCCTCGTTTTGTTTTGTTTGTTTTTATTTTAGGCGTTGGGACTGAAGGCCGCCTGGCGTAGAAGGACATAGATCTTCTCCTTAATCCAGTCCTTGTTGTAAGGGGCATAGGTGTTGGTGCTCTTCTGGTACACCATGCAACTGATGTCCATTAGGGTGTCGATGAAGTCGAACAGCTGGCTGATGTCGTAGGTGATGGTCGGGGTGTTGGGATTGCGACGCTTTAGGTGCTCCTCGTAGATCTTACAAACACCCTCCATGCACTCGTTCACGCTCTCGTAGTCGCAGTAAGTGCGGGTCTCTGGACGAGCACCAGGCTGAACCAATAGGATGGTATGCGACATATTGTTAGTCTGGAAGTCAGAAAGCATAAATTAGTGATTTTATCTTTAATGCAACACGGGAATTTGCAATTTTATTTCTCTTAACAGCTAGCCTACCTTCTATTGTAACTTTTTGGCAAGTTGCTTGCCTAACTAAAGCACATAACAGTATTTTTTAATTAAATTAGCTATTTTTTCATACAAATATTGATCAAAAAAAGTTATATTGCTTCATTTTCTTTGAATGTTTTAAAGGATTACTTATGAATTTCGTGTTTATAACCATACAATAAGTGTAACTGCAATATTTCACAACCAATATGATGATTTTTCAGGTTCAAGCCGGAAAAACAATCACATTTCATTGTGAAATACAACTTTAGCTACATCGAACTAAAACTTCGTATGCTTATAATGTTTTTTTCTCGATTTGTGAAACTTTTAAACTATCTCTCTCTACCTAATTGGAAAATCTTTTTTATCAAATTAAACATTATCTTAATTATATTCTTAGACTTAAGTTAAATACTTTTTCAATAAGGTTTTTTATTTTAGACGTCCAATTTAGTCGTAATTCCGAGACTTCCGTTGCCTGTTTTGATTTTTGCCAATTCTGCAAAAAAGAAGAAAAAATCAACATTAGAAATATGAAGAAGGAAAAAAAAAACAAACAAAAAAGGAAGATAAGACAATATTTTTCCTGCAACGCTTTGCTGCATCCGCTCGCACTCGCAGCACAAACTAATACACTTGCATACATGTGCGGGCCAATAGCATTTTTATTTTTCCAAGTTGCGACTGTCAAAGGGGAAAAACTGCCCTATAAATACGGCAATGTTGTAATCTAAGCTTGGAGAAACACTTGAAGGCCGCAAAATGCAAATATTTACACAATTTTCGGCTTGTTTTCTGCCGCTTTGGTGGTACACACATACAGATATAAACACTGAAAGCCGCTGCTGCCGCGTGTGTGTAACTAACTGTATTCACCCAATTGTTTTTGCTTACTTTTCACCGATACTTCTAGAAATTTTTTGTTCTACACTCACCCGATCGGTGGTCAGATTAATTGACTATTTATTATTGTATTAAAATCTTGATTCGAGAGAAAGATTTAGGAAATTGAACGCTTCCTTTCCTACTTATTTAGTTGTCTGACTTTATCGGCTCTGTCGATTTTCGATACCAAGAGGCATTATTTGTCGAAGCCTATCGATAGAAGCCCGTTAGATATGAGCGCGGTGAAAAATTTAAAATAAATCGAATAATAGATAATAGTGTAATATATTTCTATTATTTTCTTAAACTTGGGCTACCTAATCTACAAATGCTTATTTACGTATTTATTTTTATTAAATTTTAACTTATTTAAGGGTCATTCCGCTAAACTTTATTATACCCGCAATTCACTTACAGTAGTAATATATAAACATTTTGGGTAACTTTAAGCTGCTGTTTAAGGGTTGTTGTACTCGGATCTATTGCTTAGCTTTTATTAAGCTGAATCTAATGTCAAATCTAGTAAATAACAAAAATTTTTGAATTGTAACATCACATATTAAGGAAACTAACTATTAATTTTAAAGGAAACAAATTTAAAACTATTAGCAATATATACAGGGGAATATATATAGCTTTATATAAACATCTAAATTAAAATATGTTAGAAATAACTAAATTTCGTGAATGTTAAATAATCAACAACTATCGGTCATCGCTAACTTCTGCAGTGTGGCTACTTTACTGCCTGCGCAGTGTTGCCAGCTAGCGGTAAATAGCGATCCAACTGGCCACCAGCTGTTTGATCACAATTGGACCAATTGGAAGAGCGCGGCGAAGCGGGCAGCGCAGTCAAGCGGCGGCGGCAGAGCGATCGGCAAAGAAATCAACAACAAAAACAACCACACACAAAATCTCGTCTGAATTTTTATTTACGTGCTTTTTGTTTTAGTGAAAAGTGAAGGCGCAGCCGCAGCAGCCCGTATTTTTCGCGTTCCTATTAATTTGTTGTTATTTTACTCAATTGTGCAAGTGCCGTTCGTGTTGTGTTTTCTGTATTTTTTTTTGTTGTAGTTATTGTTGTTGTTCGTATTTGTGTCCGTCTTAATTGAAAGTAAATTAAGAGAAAATGGATAAATAAATAAACTGCAGATCAAAACAAAACAAATTAAATAATGAATAAAATAAGAGTTAAAAACAGACATATAAAACACAGTAAAGTTTGTGAAAAATAATGCCACAAAGCCAATTGGGAAATAAAGTTAGGCGAGAAAAGCAGTAAAAGTAGCACCGAAAAAGCAGTCAAATAAGAAAATACAAATCCAACCAACGCGACGACGCACGCGTGTCCAATTTGCTTCCTCCTCTTCTTCTTCTACTTCTTCTTGTTCGTTCTACAAACACCGACAACACATACATACATATTTGTCCATGTGTAGGTGTTGTATCCGTGTTACTTGTGCATTTTTCTTATTTGATTTGTTTGCTCATCTTTTATCTTTGAAATCTCGAAATCTCAATGTTCTCAGCAACCAATGGCAAAATCAAGGTAAAAAACGTACATTTTTTAGTTTTATTTACTTAAATGAAGTGTTAGTCATGTTTCAGGGGCTTGTTAGCCAAGTTTAGAGCAGCTAAAATATGCAAAACTATTAGTCAAAGTTAGTTTAGCCTTATTTCATGAACGATTTTCTAAGAGAAACAGAAAAATTACTTTATTTATCTGAGATTTTTGTTCTATATTTTATATAAACATTTCATTATTTTCTATACTAACATTGCACAACTACTAAAAGTAGCTAAAAGCCCATTAATATTAGCCTTTACTAAGCTTTCATTACATCATAAACTCTCCTTCTAATAGTTATTTTGTGTGTTTAAATATTTTGTTACGTTTTTATATCAATTCTTGTTAAATGTTGTAGTAGGCCGTAGTAAATTAAATCCTTAAAATATGCTTAAAAGTTTACTAATTATATAATAATTATCAATGTGCTAATAAAAGCAAACCAAACAGTTAAGATAATTTACCAGCTGTGATTCCTAACATGACCTGGGGTATTATGTGATAATTATCAGAATTATCTATAGTTTATCTAAGGCTAACTTATCAAACTTACATATACATTTTTAAAACAGATGATAAACAACAATTAATAGCTTTTAAAATTAAACTTATTAGCCAAAAACCAACACAAAAAAAATAAATAAATATTTTTGCTCACAAAGATTTTCAAACATTTACCATTAAATAAAAAAATATATAAAAGGCCTTGAAAACTAATCAAAACACCTACATAATTAATTGCCCATAAATAATTCCCCCATTCAAGCAATAATTTCCCTTTCTTAACTTGTTGTTTACCCATCAAACTTTGTTTCCCCCACCAAGGATAACATTTCCGATCGCATTTCATGTAAAAAGCTCTGCCAAAACTTAACATCTTATGTAAGTGAAACAGAGATGTTATCCTAACACTAACTATCGTTGTGACGTATCATCACTGAATTATCGAATGCCCATTCATTACGCATTAATTTGGCAACCAGGACGGAGGCAAAATTTTACACCAATTTCATAAAGATTTATAATATATATATAACGATCACCGGAAAGCATATTCTAAACCAATATCATGGATAAACAAGGCTTACTATATCGCGAAGTGTTAATAGTGGAATAATATATCTAGTTTTAAGTGTTTCATTCAGTGAAAAAGAGTTCTTACAAATTTGCATTTACAGTTACCTTCGGATGACGCCGTGTTGGCGACGTCGCCGCTGCGCTGCCTTCTCAACGGTCCGTTTCGCGATCTACACTTCAACGTCACCGATCATCGCATCATACCCGTTCACGATGTCGTCTTTCTTGACGACTTCGAACGCAACGTTAAACCTTTGATCTATCGACCTGTGACATCAGAGGTCGCCGGCATCAACGGCGCTGCTTCTGACTCTGCCACTACCAACGCTGGAGTCAACGACAACAACAACGTCAACAGCAAAGTCAACGCCAAAGCAACGCCGGCAGAGGAAGAGCAGCGCAGCTTCGTTAGCAGGTGAGTCATATGCGTGCGAAAGAGATAACGATCGATTGATCGTAACCTTGAACTTGATTCCACTTTACTGCTTCCATTGCGAATTGGAAGTAAGAATGCTGGAAGAGGGAAAGGAAAGGAGAAAGATATCGTGCTAACTAATTAGAATTTGTGAATGGAGATTCTTATTGGATTTGATTTAAATTTCATTTAAAATCGAAAATAATTATTATTTTGCTTGCAATTTTTTTTTTTTAATTAACTTACAAAGTGAACAAGTGTCTTTTATCGAGGTTTTATTGTTCGGGCATCTGTAATAATTTGTCTTGTTTAACGCTCGTTTTTGAAAAGTGTTTGCCTTAGGGAACCTGATAGCAAAAAGAACATTCTCCGCTGATAAGACAGTGGGCGCCCCTGATGTGTCCGACACTCATCATACTCTGATCATCATTATCATTATCATCATAATCGTTAAAGGTGTGCAAAAAAAATCATGTCTATTTTTGCTTTTGTATTGGTTTTAAGGTGTGCAGCTTAGTCTATACAGTGCGGGTTAAGTAAAGTAAGCCGTTTTAATGTGAAATTTACAAAAAGATAAACCCAATTAATTTCCAATTTATTTTTCATTGCAACACAAAGTGTTTTATTAATCATTAAATCTGCCCACCAAATGTCGCTCTCTTTTAGCTTTATATTCCCGACCCGCACTGTTCGTTCTTATCAGAAAATCGTTATGCGTGTTTATTTACTTTGCTTTGCTGTTCTTTTCGTTTTTATAGTTTTTTTTTGTTACTGCATTTTACGAGTGTTTTGTTTCCTGGCTCTTGCTTTTGTTCTTCTTATTTTTTCTTTATTGTATTTAACTACATTTCGCCTAATTGTTTCGCATTTCTATTGGCATTTAACACACACACACTGGCACACACACATACACAGACTAGTGCCCTAACTATGATTATCGCTTTATTTTGTGGCTTTTGCTACCTCTTTTGGCCGCTGTTTTTGGTTTTATATTTATGCTTTATTTATTCAGCATTTGGAATTCGTTGACTGGCTGGTTGCCTTTTGGCCAAACATAAAAATTGGTTAACTGAATTCCATGCTTTGGGGGACATTCAACTGATTAGAAGGTGTAGATAAAATGATATAGGGTTTAGGATGGATTTTTAGGAGATTGAAAAATATTTAAAAGAAGAAAGTTCTCAAGAAATCTAAAAAAAGAAGCTAAAAAAAAGTGTTATTATAGATATAACATAATCTACTTCTAATTTGATATCTATATAGTATCTTCAAAGAGTGCATAATTCTTCGCATTATAAAGATTTGCTTGACTTTCCTGTTTCTTCCGCATGGTTTTTAGTCGATTCTTTTAGTTTGTTTGGCCAAAAGATCTTATTGTTATGTGCCACTGAAGGTTGTCTGCGTTGACACCTTTTCTGAGCTGTGCTGTGTGTCTCGTGGCTGATTATATATATATATAGATTCCTATATATATATACAAATATCTTTTTTATAGCCTTTCTGGCCATCGCCGGTTGTTGTTTTCGTCACAGTTGCCGGCATAAGTTTCATGCCCTTGGCATTGACCGTCGTATCCACACGCTCCGCCAAAAGCGATTCATCACCATTTGCCTTTTGTGTTGTTGTTGTCCGTCTGTCGCATTATTATTAATATACGAAAATTCAAATTATCGTTAGTGCAACGACTTCAATTAATGTACATTAAAATAATTGGCAACATGACCCCTGCTGGTCAGGAATTTTTGTTGTTTGTTTTGGAAAAACAATCGAGCAAAGGCAATTCAAAGTTTGTTGCAAAATGTTGTCAAAGTAGAAGATTAATCGCGTTGGTCGGCAAACAGATTTTGAGGTCATTTAATGCATTGCAATTGTAGGTAATCAGGGGAGTTAATTATTAAGCTTAGCACTTTGTCTTACTGACAGATTTATGGCAGCCTCAAATTACTAACAACGGAGCTGGGTTATTGGGTAAAAAGTTTATTAATAGCAAATATTTTGTTAAGAGAAGTTAAGCTAAACGAGAGATAATTATTTTCTAGTATTAAACTAGATTTTTAGGTAACGAAATATATTTTTTAGAATTTTTTATTTAAGTTTTACTTAAGATTTTAAGAAAAAATCGATTTTATGT